CATAAGAAGTCGGAAAAGGAGGAGCTCAATAAGGTCAAAGAAAGTAAAAAAAAAAAAAAAAAAAAGAAACCTAGAAAGGAAGATTTGAGTTCAAAAATCCCCACACATGTAAAAGACAACTGAAGTGAAGACACTGAAGTGACAGTTGTGTTTTGACACAGAACACAGGGTTCAAAATCTATTCTATGCTCTTTTGGCAGTCACTTCCAGTGGGCAAACATGCCAAGCACTGTGCCTCGAAGAAAGGATCCAGTCAGGCCTTTTATATTTTATAATTGATGCATTAAATATTGTATACTTTCTTCAAGCATTTATTTTTGGATGCATTCTTAATATTAGTCAATTAAAAATATCACCATTATTGTTTTTCTTTAATCCATGTGTTTGCATGGAAACTACCTAGGAGGGAAGAATAGGAGCCCAGTGTTAATAAGGACTGACTGCATGAGGCAGGGACTTGTAAGACCCCAGAAGCTTTCTTTGTCTCCCATCTTCTCTGCCCTGTGTCACCGGTAGTCTGACACTGAGGGCTGAGTTTTCCAGTTTTCTGCATAAGCTGGTTTCCAACAAGGACTGGAAGGATATTCACTGAAAAACAAGGATAAGTCACTGGGCTTCTCCTTTTCCTGTGCAGGGCACCATCTCCTCCATGCCTGTGTCCACAAGCCTGGCCCAGAGGGTAGGTAATGTCACACTCTCCCTCTCATCTAGGATGGTAGCAGATCCCCAGTGATGCTACTTTCTGGCTTGTGTTTTTCTTTCAGCTCTTCCATCACCAATGTAACCAATACTTACCATTAAACTGCCTCTGCTTTAAATGCACTGCATGCTTTCATTTTTCTTGGTTAAATTCTACTGATACAGTGCCACTTCATATTTTTTTTAAATTCTCACAACCACAAGGTATAAAAAAAATGAAGCAGGTAACAAATTTCCCTTTAAAAAGTGAAAAAAAAATGCAGTAAATTGACCTAAAAGTGATTAAGGGTGATCCATCCGCATTTATGAGAGGAAAGCATTGTTTCTCCCGCTTTCTTGTCAGAGCTTTTAATTTATACATGAGTATTATCTCTCAAACAACACCTTTGAAATAGTGTTTCTTTCAAGCTGCTTCTACAAACTAAGGGTTTTAAAGATCCATAAAGTATATTCCATTACCTATGTTCCCAATTGATTCCACATGATTCTCTAATTTACACAATTGTGTCCTTAGCACAATTTTATTTTATTTTTTTTTGTTTTGATGGAAATTGAACCAAGGACCTTTTACATGCTAGGCAAGCACTCTACCAACTGAGCTATATCCCCAATCCCTTAGTACAATTTTAAATTTCATGGTTAAACAGAAACAAAATAAAAATACTCAACATCTTAAACACCATGGTGAATGTTGGTAATAGACATCAATTTGTGAAAATATTGGCCTGTTAGGTGGTGTGGTACATGATAGAAATGGACTCTCACTAACAAAAACTAGTGGCATTCAAATATGTAATTAAGCTAAGATATATTAGAGGAACTTTCTACCTTTGGGTGAATAGGAATTAAGAATCCCTTGAGGCCAGTAGCTTTAGCCTTACTGAGGATGCCCTGTTTAAGTCAATAACCAAAGGAGGATTCTGGAAGGCAAGTGTTGAATGGAAGGAGACAGCGCCTCGAAAATCTTGGCAAGGTTATGCTTGCAGAACTTCAAAGGTCAAGAAACAGAACATCCTTTAACCTACAGAACAGTTTAGATGAATTTTTTTGACTTACTTTTTACAAATGGTGAGTTAAAATCCTGTATGTATTGTAGAATATGTTTAGCACTTTCTTTTATAATAACCTAGTACTGACTTTCAGTGTGAATGGACAAAATGGTAAATACTCAGCACTTTGAATTTATTAGTCATCTACCAAAAGGTCAGTTTCTGCAAATCCAATGTGATTCAGGACATTTCCTAAGAGGGCAATTAGTCCTGAACAAAATGAATGGATTATGTACATTTTACATATAGAATAAACATGAAAACTCAATAAGAAATTATATAAGATCATAATAATAAGAATTATGGGCTGGGGAAGTGGGTCAAGTGGTAACATGCTCGCCTGGCAAGCGCAGAGCACTGGGTTCGATCCTCAGCACCACATAAAATAAAAAATAAAGATGTTGTGTCCACCGAAAACTGAAAAATAAATATTTTTTTAAAAAATTCTCTCTCTCCTCTCTCTCTCTCTCTCTCTCTCTCTCTCTCTCTCTCTCTCCCTCTCTCTTAAAAAAAAGATTTATGAAGCAGTATAAATCATAGTGTGATGGGAATAATGAGTGATTATATTTCAAGTATGGCATTCACAACTACTCAGTTACAAATAACATACTAACCATAGGTATCAGGAATGTAAAGCTCAATGGTAACTTAATGTGGTACCTTTTGGTTTTATGAATGGGCCTGTAGAATAGCTCCATTATTGGCTGGTGTTAAGCAAATTAATTATTCTCACCATGTTTGTTTTTTTTATCTGTTAATTAGTATATCAGAAATGTGTTGAGTATTAAATGAGCCAGGATTAATGCATTACCAGCCATATAATAAGTCCCAATTAATGTTTAGCTATTATTAAAATAATAATGGTCTCCAAAAAGATTTACAAAGCCATTAATTTGCTAACCCAAAATTTGTTATAGATCATGTAATTAATTTAGAAACAAAGAATTAGAGCAACAGTTCTTAGTTAATCCTGGCCACTGAGACCCCTGGAGACAGTGCAGTGAGGTATTTATGAAATGCAGTCATCCTTTTACATTACAAATCTGAATCTTCCCATACTGAGAATCTGTGCTGAGATGAAGCACTGTTGTCATTGTGGGTGGGCTGCTCACTCACACCCTCTCCAGAGGGGAAAATGAGAATCAAAGGGCTCAAGGGCAAAGAATATGACCTGATCTAACAAAGAAGATAGTATGCTCTGGCTCTCAGTGGGGCACTGTTCTAGGGATTGGCAGAGTTAGCCTTGGTAGAGAAAAGACAATATTGGAAGATGCCAGTCTATTCAATAGGAAGCTTCAAGTGCAAGAAGCTTCTCGGATAATTTATTCCAAAGTTCTGCTCTAATATTTAATATACAACCATCTGTATTTTTATACTAATACTTATGGAGGAGAGGACTGAACATTAGCATAAAATTCTTTGAATGAAGCTACACTAGCATGTTGCATGTGTTCATCAGGATGGCTATATAGGGAAACCTTCTGTTTTCCTTCTATAATTTTTGACTTTAGTGATGGGGCCACCTTACATTAAAAACCATGGTTGTTTTTAGCCCTTTAGCTAATTTTACACAGTTTCTTTCTCTCTCTCTCTCACACACACACACAAAGTCAAAATTTTGTTTTGGGTTTGAGGTCAGAATTGTTTTGGCTTGTTCTGAGCAACATATTTATATGTTTTATCTTTGCAATTTATCATACTGTATTATCTTTAATCATTGAGAATTCTCCAACATGACACTAGAAACCATTTCACTACTAGTTTTCTTGGCCACCAGTCTCTTTCTTCATGAATGGACAGATGGATTCCTTTTCTTGGGGTAACAAAATGCATAGTTTGTCACTTTTGTCATTAACAAATATGTTGACAAGCAAGGTGGTATCACTCACATGCACCATATCAAAAGAGCCAGGATGTCTCTCTGCTATGATCACAGCAGGACTTCCCAGGTTAGCACTTCCAGGATCCATACAGATCAGTATATTCTTCCATGAGGAGATCAGGATGCAAATGGTGTGAGCATTGTGGATAACCAGACAAGGGATTCTTTTTTTACCTACAAAGATCTTTCTCACTTTCCACAACTTATATTGGAGTTCCTCAGGTTACTACAATAAATAGCAAAGTGATCCCTGGTGTTATAGATCAGATGGACATCATCTCTAGTCTTGACACTACTGATGATGTCATAAAATTATCAGGGTAAGTCACATCAGTCCAGACATTGCCATCAGTCTTAATGAGCTGTCATGCAGACTTTCTTTGCTTCATCTCCCGTCTGGGCATACTTAAGTCTGTTCCATAGGAAATGTGAAGTCCATAGTGATAAGAGGAAGACATTCTCTCAACTTTAGTGGACCAGTGGATGAATGAGGAACAAACATACGCTCACTTTATCCTGCATTCACAGCTTTGGAGCTGCTACTCACTTCAGATGTTTCTTAGAAACACAAGTCTTGGCAACTTAGGGAAACCTAGTCCAAAAAATGAAGAATTAAAAAGAACCAGGAATGTAACGCAGTGAGGTAGAGTGCCCCTGAATCCTAGTTTCAATCTCCAGTAGTACTAAAGAAAAAGAGAGAGAGAGAGAGAAAGGGAGAGAGAGAGGGAGTTGGAAACAAAGAGAGACTGAGAAAAGATAAACATAAAATTTTAAAAAGTGATTATGGCTGGCACAAAAGGCACAACAGGTCAGCAAAACGTGGGTTACAAAACTATTGAAAATGGTACTTAATATTTCTTGTTGGATTTAGAAATGTTCATTTGATTATATAAATATACAATATTAATATATATAATATATTATATATTATATTATACATGATTTATAATACAATATTCATATATGTAATAAAATATTAATACAAAAGTAATTATCCTTTGTGGTCCAGAGTGACTACATTAACTAGAAACATGATTAGATCAGAATCTCCCAACAAGCAGGGTCAGGCTTTAGGGCAGAGCAGCTTCATGCATTGTTCCCATGTGCTCCATAACAGGCTGATGGAATTCCATGTGTGCAGTAATGTGATTAGATCTGATACGGCTGCACCTGACTTGATTTCCTGATACTGTTGGATAAGAGTGTTATTATATTAAGTTTTTCTCTTTACTTTTAAAACTCAGTCCAACTTTTCAAATTCAGAATTACATAATTATACAATAAAATATTTATTTTCTTCTTTATTTGTCCCCAGGAAGAAAAACAAGAACAAGGTAAACACACACACACAAAAAAAATAAACTCCCACATTTATTTCTTAATTTGTCAATTGATATACCATTCCAATTCAACCTGGGGTTTCTAGAGAAATCTCTTAGGCTACTTCTCTCAAAGTCCCTGCCGCAGCCTGCACGGTGAAGGCTGCAATCAAAATCTGTCTCTTCACTTCTTCCCAGGCCTTGGAAGGGTCCACTTTGCTTTCAATATCAAACGAAGCATCATAAATTCCTGGGAATGATTCCCCTGCATACTTGTTGTGGCTGCTTGGAGCATAGATGACATGCCTGTTGAGAGAAAATACTTTGTTGTTAGTTGCACAAATGACATACAAGAAAGAAAGAGGAGCACCATACAATCTTGGATCTCATATTCCTAAATTTATACTTTGAGTAAGTCCTTTGGCAAGCAAACTTATAAGTCCACTAGTTTCCAAAGACTAGTCTATTAAATATGTATTAACTACTTTTACTTTAAATAGATAGCTCAAAGTTGTTCAGACTAACACCAGTAGCAACAAGGATAAACAGCTGCTGATTACCTGGTATAGATTGTGCTTAGTATTCTTCAAGAATTTACTACAATTTTTTGTAAGTCTTTCTTTCTTTTCTTTTCTTTCTTCTTTTTTATTTTTTTATACTGAGGATTGAATCCAAAGGGCTTTTACACTAAGCCATATTCCAGCCCTTTTTCATTTTACTTTATTACTATTAGTTTTTATTTTAAGACAGAGCCTCACTTAGTTGCTTAGAGCCTCACTAAGTTGCTCAGTTTGGCCTTGAACTTGTGATTCTCCTGCCTCAGATTTCCAAATTGCTGGGATTATAGATGTGAGCCACCACACCTGGCCCATTTTTCTAATTCTTAAAAGTGAATTCTACAAAGTTGCTGTTAGTTTCACAGAGGACAAAACTTACTGTAATTAAATTATTTGTATCAATGTGCATAAAAAATAAGTATTGAGTTTTACTATACCACACTACCCCTGGCCTTATAACACTGCTGTGATCATTAAATTCCCATTTAAAACCAGCCAACCAACTTTTTTTCTATTTTTTAAAAATCTCATATTCTAAATGTGACTGATGCTTAGCTGAAGGCATGAAGAATCATTAAAAACCATTTGTGATGTTTACAAGACCTAGAAAGAAGACTTTCATTGAAGGGGCTAAGCCAGGTCATGTGCTAGCCCTGAAAGAGGATAAGTTGCAAAGTAACAAGGTAAAGTGTTAAAGAGACACAACCATGCTACCATGGGCAAAATGGTCACCCTGTTTGGATGATGCCTTTTCTCCCAACTCCTGACCCTTTGACAGTCCCTACAGGGAAAGGGGGTGCCACTTCTGGCTGTTCCATAACATAAACCATTTTGCAGTACTCACAGTATAGGCAACCTGGGGGCAGTGGGTACTTATCAGAAATAAGCACATTTGACAAAATTTAGGTGGAAAAACCTTTAATAACAAATTTAGGTTGTAAATAAATATATATTTATTACATATTAATGCATGTTTATTAAATTTATTATTATCATGCATATATACAAAAACAATTATATTTAAAATAGAACAAGGGCTAAAATTGTGTAAGAAAATATAAACTTGATTGGAGAGATTTTTGTTTTCTGTTTGTGTCTTTCTGAATCTTTTACATTTCCTAAAATAAACATTTTTTTTTTTATAATCAGACACAAAAAAATGCTAAAAAGAAAGATATATAAGAATCATATTACATTATTTGGAAACCCAATATAGTATATTTGACACTATACATATTTTGAAATATTCTATTAGCTTGCAAGAAATCAATTTTTATATTTTTTTCCACAGTGCACAACATTTTTAAAATGTGATATTAAAGTGAAGAGTCATATTTTCTTTCTTACCTATAGAAAGGCCTGTCTGGTAACCCTAAAGGATCAATGAATGCCCGTTCCAGAAACATCAGCTGATCATTCATAATCCTCAATAATATTAGGCTAAAAAGGAAATTAGTATAGGTACAAGTGAATGAAATTGTATTACCCAGCAAGCAAAAATATTTAAAATTCCTATAATGTGCAAATTAATAACCACAACAGGTAATAATCATATTTTTGATATCTTGTAAAATTCTATTTTGCTGAGACTTATGAAACTATGGAAGCAGTAACTTGTGCCAAAGGAAACATTTGATAGTAATTTTTATGTAAGTGGAAATAGTAAGTGGTAAATCTAAGAAAATGAATTCGGGGAAGGCTTTTTTCACCTTAGGAATATTAATTATCTACTTTGGGAGTCGTATCAATATTTAAATGAGACAATTTATAAATGTTCTGTAAGGTGCCAGGCAAATTATACATATTTTTTAAGTGACAACTCATGACGTTTTCTTGTTTATTAAGGATAAACCTTCATGAGCATAAGAGATGGTGTCTTTGTGTTCTTTCAAAGGTAGTGGAAAGCCTACAATGTATCCAACAATACCACAGAATTTGCATTGCAAACACTGGTGGTATGGTTGTTATTGTAATAAAAATGATTCAGCATAATCAAAATTAATCTAACAGTCCTAAATAATTTCACAATGAGTTTTGAATTCAATATATTGCTTGTGTCATAATTTAACAAATTAGAAAAGGAATAATTGTTTTATTCATTGGTTTTATTTGCTCTTAATTTTTATGTTGTTTTTAACAATAACGACATTTAGTAATCACTGTTCTGAATGCTAACATAATACATTATTTTTAATCTTCAGGCCAATCCTTCATGTTGGAAAGATATTACCTCCATTTTTAAAAAATATAATTTTCTAATTGACTTTAATTACTTAATTAAATTGGGGATTGATCAATTGAGGATTGATCCTAGGGGTACTTAGCCACTAAGCCACATCCCCCAGGTCTCTTAATTCTACTTTATTTGAAATTTTTAGACAGGGTCTCACTAAATTGTTTAGGGCATCACTGAGTTACTGAGGCTAGTCTTGAACTGATGATCCTTCTGCCTCATCCTCCTGAGTTGCTAGGATTACAGGTGTGTATCACTGTGCCCAACAATAGCTCCACTTTATAAATGACAGAACTAAGAATCAATATCTTATCAAGTTGCCCAAATTTGCAAATAGAAAGCTGTTGAGTGAAATAGGAGGTCACCAATGTTGTCCTATTGGCTGCACTATGTAAACAAAACAAAAATAGAAATAACTAAGATCCCATAATTTAGATTTAAGTTATTTACAACATTTATTTTTTATCATAATGAATTCAGTATTTTTGAAAGTATAAAGGAGGCATAGACTTTATCTGTTAGCAGCCCATATAAACAAAGGGGATTAGAGTGAAAGATAATTTCAATATGAAGTTATAGGTTTCTGAATCAAATTCACAAAGCATTGCTGTAAATGCAAGAGGTCATGTGGATCCACACAGGTAAGTACACAAACACACACACTCACTTCTTTTTATTTCTCCTTCTCTTTCTCTCCTTTCCTCTTACCCAACTATATTTCTCTCTCTTGTCTCCATCTCCATCTCCATCTCTATCTCTATTTCTATCTCTCCCTTTCTCTGTCTGGATTTCTCATCTTGTAGCTACCACTAAAAGTCTTCAGAGGTTCTTTCTATAGTACCTGAATTCAACTTGGAGTAACCCTGGGTTGCTAATACTCAAGACAGCTAAGTAAACAGTCTTTTCACTCCTGGAGCATGCCAGCCTCTCAAGGGAGGATCAGAGAATTACATATTTTAAGGTGGACTATTATGTAAACCTGAAGGTACTAGAGTCAACACCTCATGTTCTCTGATGAGCAAAAACATTGATGTAAGAAAAGCAGGGCCAGAAGTGTCTTTTTAGATTTCAAAGTTTCAGTCTAGAAACTCAACATGGACTTTATTTCCTTATTTGACATTTACTGTTATTATATGCAACATACAGGTGTTCCAGGATCCCTAAACATCAAAGAAAGACACACACTGTATCTTAATTATCATAAAAAGAGAACAGGCACAGATAGAAATACTCAAGGATAGTCAAGCTGAGTTCCATCAGAAAACATAATTCAAGCCATGAGGTAGTCTGTCAGATAGAGAAGGAAACATCATTTGTTTTATAGATAGAAAAATCAGTTTTGTAGAATACATGGTGTTGGGATCCCCTTAAAAACACATTTCTCTTATTTTTTATACATAAAAAACTTGGTGAAAAATATAAAGGATAAAAAATCTTCTCCCTATATATTAGTGTCAATATAACACCATTATTATACTAATTGCTTCCCCCTGAAGTTTTTTGTTTGGTCAAAAATTTAACCTACATAATTTTTATGTTTTTGGTTTAACTCACGTTATTATACTCACATATATAATATTTATAATAATCATTTTTGCTTTGCTTTTTGTGTGGCTGGTGTTGGGGAATGATTATTTTTAATGGTTATAAAATGTTCAAATTGGTAGAGATCTTTCAGTAAATTCTTCCCCTACTGGGCATTAAGTTGTTTTTATTTATTTGATATTATAATTTTATAATTTTTATCTTTCTCTAGGTAATATCTTTTTAATCAAAACTTGAGACTATATCCTTAAGGAAAAAAATAAGTGGAAATGCTAAGTTAAAGTATAAGAACTCTATGCTGAGTCTTGAAATTTGCATAGTTTGCATAGTTGATAGAATTTTAGTATTGTCACATTATCAACTTTAAAATTTTGTTCAAATTGTTTTACATTTATGATTTTACATAGGATTAATCCTAATGTTTAACATATATAAATTTCACATATATAATGTTTAACATAAATAATGGTTTCAAATTAATTTGTATTCTGGATAAATTGAATTTTACCAGCTGGAGGTGCAGGTGAGGATTTCTGCATGGAGGCAATAACTTCAAGAAGAGGTAGAAAGAAGTTATGTTTTTGGAAATAAGAGAATTTGGTTGAAGTGTGATGCACAGACAATGAAAGAGCAAGAGATTAAAAAGAAAAGATATGGGTAACACATGGAGGACCCTTCAGTGTTTAGGTGGTAAATTGTACCTCATCAGCTGGCAGCAAGAAGACACTGGCATCTCTGAGCAGCACAGTTCACTAAGCAATGTCAGAGATAGGTCTTTAGGAGGTAGGCAACCCTGCACAGGGTGCTGTAGAGTGGACACAAACACCATCAAAATGTCCCAAAGATGCTTTTGTAACCAAGATGTCAACTTGTATTTCCTGTTAATTATATCCATTAAATACATAAATAAATGTAGAACTTACTTGCTTTTGTCTAAATCTTGAAGTCTCTTGCTGAACTTAGAAGCAATTTCTGTAAAATTCTTTACTGCAGAAAACAGTGCATCTGAAATAGAAGTTGGAATCATCAAAAGCTTTAAGAATGTAATTTCTAATGATGTTGTTACATAGGTAAAAAAATGAGAATATAGAAGATCATCCTCTTTTGTGTCTTACAAGGTATATGAGCAGTCATGACACGAAAAGTACATGTGCACAAGTAAACAGAATACTTCATCATGTAGAACAAAAATAAAAAATAAATGTCCTAAGGAAGGTCATTGCATTTCAGAAATTACTGGAAACATATAAATAATGACATTGGAAAGAGGACGTGCAACATACCAAATGATACACTGTATGTTTTCATTTCCTGTGGATGTTTCATTGAAATATCGTAGATTTTGTCAGCATACTTTTTTAAAACTACAGCATAATCTCGACAGTCAAAAGGAAGCACTATGGAATTGGCCAATTCAAACACCATCCCTCCTCGAACCTGGGCCACGGTCAGGTGATATTTAAATGTTGGATCATAAAATTTTTCCACCAACTCATATGTTTCATAGACACTATGATACAATGGATAGCTGCTGAATTTGTGTGTTTTCTACAAAAGAAACACATATCTCTTGTAAGATAGCTTATAATAAAATACATAGCACTTTATTTACTGTTAATGTTTGACCAATAATAAATAAAAGGAAGTACTTAAATACCTCAATGTGCTACTTAATATGGGTCTACTATTACAGTATTTAAACTCACTCTAGGCTTGTACTAAGTCAAATATATGCATGTGTGACATAAACAATATTATAAAAACATTCTTTTGGAGTCACCTTACAGACTTGTCTTTAACCATAGCAGAGATGTGAAAATGTTTTAGGAGACTGAGGAAAAGTCAAGAAAAGTGTTGCATTTGAAAAAAAATAATTTAAGAAGACCAAACTATTAGAAGTAAATAAACATGACAATATCATATAGGGAAATATGTGGAATTTTTTAAAGACTGAAATTCTATTAAAAAATTATTCTCTGATGAACAGTGTGTGGAAAAGTAGACTGTCTAAGCAGTGAGGGGTTCAGAAGTAAATGTAGAATCTCACTATGGAGAGGGAGGGATGGTCAGACAGGTATAAGGACAGTCAACAGTATAAGAAAAAGCCAAGAAGAAAGGACTTTTCATCTAGGCACAGTGGTGCATGCCTGTAATCCCAGCAACTTGGAAGGTTGAGGCAATAGGATCATAAGTTCAAGGCTAGCCTGGGCAACTTAGGAAGATCCTGCCTCAAACTAAAAATTGTAAAAAGGGGACTGGGAATGCAGTTCAGTGGTAAAATCCCATGGGTTCTAGCTTCTCAGTACAATAAAAAAAAAAAAAAAAAGAAAGAAAGAAAGAAAAGAAAAAAGAGAGAGAAAGAAAAAGAAAAGAAAAACTTTCAAACTGCTGATTTATGCCTTTTGATCATTTTCCAAGGTGCTTGAATTTTTTATATTGATCATTTATTTGTTGTTGATAATTTATAAAGATGGAGGTAGATACATATTAAAAAGTAAAAGTTGAAAGACTTTTCACCTGACAAATAGAAATCAAGTGGGACAAATACCAAACTGATATAAGAAGCTACTAGTTTTAGTTATGAGGTTTTATAAACTATGCATCTATGTTATTTTGATAAAAATAAAAATATAAACTTATAGTAGTAGCAACTACAAAAGGAATGGCATATGACTCATATCTTCATTGTGCATTATGTCACTTGTTTTTTAAAGATTAATCTAATAATTGGATCTATAAGAGATAAAAATAGAAATGTTTATATAGGTATTTATATGGATTAATTTTGAATGGTATTAAAAGTAAAGATATTATGTCATATGCATATAGCTGCATTCCACCTTTATGTTCTACAAAGCACCGATTTTAACAAAATGATAAATAAATAGAAGGATGGTCATTAGACTAGAAGAAGAGAAATGGGAAAGGAGCAGGGGAGGGCAAGAAGAAGCATTGGGGACTGAAATGGAACAAATTATATTCCATGCCTCTATGACTATATCAAAATGAACCCAAATATTACATATAACTATAATGCACTAATATAAACATTTTAAGAGACAATTCCTATATGACTTAAATGACTTTATGAATGCAATGCCACCAAATAAAACAGAAAATATATTTAATATAACATAAGGAAGTTTGCAGTCAGGAGTACTGGGGCCAGGGGCAGTGAAGAAGGGCTCAGACATCAGATGCAGGACCCACCCCACATAGGACCAGCACTGCCAAGCCCTACCATGTCTCCCTTCTGCCTTCATATTCCTCACCTCCTTTAATGCTTGAGCCACTTTTTGAAGTCAAAATTATTTGTTTGGCTAAAATAGATTCATAAATAATCTTGAAGAATTCAGTGAAAGACAATTACCCAATCTTTAGTATATCGTGCTCTGCCTGAAGCAATTCCGAGTCTTTGGAAGAACACCTCGAAATCATTACCAGACCCCAATTTACTAATCCTTTTAGGGGGAAAAAACAGAATTATTTTAGAGTAATTTTTCATCAATTTTAGATTAAAGATCAATTAAACTGAACTCCATCACTATTATGACACTCTTAAACATGCAGAAAATAATGAGAGAAACATTAATTTGATCACAAAATATCCAGTTTCATGACTATTTTATAAGTTCCTTTTAAAAAAGATTCCTGAAATTTGAAAATATTTTCCATTAGATTATTTCATTTAACATCTGTATTTGTGGTATGTGATAAAGTGGAATAAGTAACCAGTTTTTTCAGGTAATTCAGATGTAAATTATTCCCTTATTACTTTAAATTATACATGTTGTTGATATCAACATTCTCAAACAACTGAGATAGTTCTTTTCCCTTGCTTGTGAGGATACAACCAATGCAGAAGTAATGCTTGTATTCAATATTAGAGTAACCAAAGTATCTGTTAACTGTGTGGTGTTCAGAAAAAAGACAAGTGATAAGGTGATAGAAATATGATGAGAATTACTTTTTACCATTATCTCTATTCTAACTTTATATTTATGTACCATATGCAAGTAACCCTTCTAATAACACTCATTTTTTGATAGCCAACAGATTTAACTTCAAAACACATCTTAATATTGGATTTGAGACTCTTAAGCATTTGTTTTATATGATCTTAGAGCATTTTGAAATTTAATTTTTAATTTTATGATTGAAAGAAAATATTCTGATATTTTCTAAACAATCCCAGTCAAAAAATCAAATCGAGCAGAAAGCTGGGTTGCTGTTTTGATTACCTGGGCATGCCACTGAACTCAGGTGAAGGACTCTTTTTATTCCAGCTCTCATAAAGAGATTTGCCTTTAAAACCTTCATCAGGGCTTTGAAGCTACACAAATTAATGGAAGAAAGGAAAATACTTTAAAAAATAGATGCAGTAAAACTTACATGTCTGTTGTTAACCAGGGAGTTAATTATAGTTACACAAAACAAGAAATGCAATCTTTATAGTAGCAGTCCTTAAAAACTGTGGAGTTGGGGTGTCATCCAGTGGTCCAGCAAATGAATAAATAAATGAATTACAATAATGAGTTTCTGACATTAAACGGAAATTCTCATGTTATTATGTATGGGAATGACTACATTAAGAAAAATCCATAAGATGCATAGAAAAGAAGACTGCATCAAATTATTATCAAACCATTTTCTTTAGAAAATGTATAATTTTGTTTTGTCTACTTTTCTAAATTGGGCTAGGTGACTCTCAAAACCATATATTTTCCCTTTTCTTAGAAAAGGAAAATAAAAGGAAATGAACTGGTTAAGGGAATATATTCTTTCTTAATATTTATATTTTTAGTTATAGGAGGACACAATATCTGTATTTTATTTTTATGTGGAGCTGAGGATCAGGATCTTATATATATATTAAACAGTGTAAAAATATACCACCAAGTAGTTAGTTTACCAGCAAAATTTGAAATACTACAAATTATTCTCCCAAAACAAATAAGAAAATTAAAATTTTTAAGCACTACATACTTCAAGCCTGACCTAGAGAGCAACATTTTTGCAATTATAACCAGAGGCCACAAATTCAGTTAGCAAACAAAAATAACTGCCAAGTTTCCTTAGCATGTTTTGTGAATTACTTGAATAGGGGAAATTTATGAAATACCAGGTCTCAGATACTTAAATATTGTATGTTGTGCGGTAATTTATAAAACTCCAGCCAAACAATGGAGTTCATAAATGCTAGACTAATAAATGTTTTCAAATTGATTTTTCAATTTCAATAGAAGTTATATGGTTAAATTCCATGCTTTTGAAACCGAAGCTTAATGACATGTATTATAACTTATAATTCCTCCTGAAAAAAATTGTTTTTCTTGGAAATTACATTGTTTATTTCTGATTCTATTCAGTGAACAGGTTTTCTGTTGTCCTTATTGTTTTCTTTTCATTCACTTCAGACAATTAGCAGAAACAAAAATCTTTCATGCCAAACCCCCTTCATTCTTACTAACTTGGATTAGGACCAGAGTTATGGAGTATGAAGGTTAAAGAGATTCCTGTCCTATAGAAATTTAGGTATCCACCTTTCTACCAAGTTCAGTGCCCTCTGTGCTGTGACAATTAAGATAACATTGAGCTATCATTCAGGCTCACTGAGGCCAGGGGATTGGAGTCCAAGGCAAATGTTGAGAAGAAAGTTACTTAGTCTCATCTATCCTCTGCCCCAAAATGATTTGTTGTTTTTAATGCATACTCTGTCTCCATCATTTAGAACATTTGGTTTTCCTGAGTCCTGAATTAATAGGGAACAGTATATTAAGAAGGAGAAACTGGTTGTAAAATTAAGGATTCAAACCATAGGAGAAAGTCCCAGTTCAGCAACTGTACACCTTGGGTGACTAGGGTGGCTATCATTTCTCAACAGTTTCCTCATTTTTAAACAAAATATAGTAAACATAATGCTACATACAGGTTGCCTCAATATGTTGTGGGGGGAGATGGGTAGTGTGTAGGCAGCATGTTAGATGTGACATTCTGTGAAGTGGATTGTTACATTAAAAAAAGATGAGTTATATAAAACAACAATAGCATCATAATGGCACCTCAAGGAAACATTATTTGTAGAAGTTAGATTTTCTTAAGTTATATATATATTTCATTTTACCTCTTTTGTTAGATTGTATACCAAGCTATACATCAGTGGTGTACAATCAACTCTTAAGGTGTAGTTTCCTGAAAGACAGAAAAATGATACATTGGTTTTCATTTAATTTCTCTCAGTTGTTTATTCAAAGACCACTGCTAACTTCCTTGATGGAAATGATCCTTTCAAAAACTAAATTTATTTCAAACTCTTGAATGGCTCCTGATCTCACTCTATAAAACCCATCATCTTCATCATGTCCCCCAGCATGGTGTATGAAACAACCCACATCATCTCTCCAAGGTTTTATTTTCCATTCTGCCAAGAATATTCCCTTGGGGCCTTTGCACACTGCATTTCCCAGTCCATACTACTTATTCCTCCTCTAGTAAGATGCTATATTTTCTGAGAGATATCCTATGGCCATCTTATCTAAAACAGCATGCTCCTTCCACTCCCTATCCTGGCTACATTCTTCCTCTCTGACATTGTTTTTTTTTTTTTTTTTTTTTTTTTTCCCTAAATTCCTCACCTATCTAATATAATAAATAGTTGTCTTTTTGTTATTTGCCCTCCCAATGGGCCATAAGTTCCATGGGAACCAGGGTGGTCTTTTATTATCCAATATATCCTTAGTGTTTCCAACAGTCAGAACTGTAGCAATTACCCAATAAACATCTGTTGTGAAAATAAACTTGTGAGCTAGCTGCTCTATAGCTGATTCTACAGAGTAGAGGTGGACTCTCCATTCTTCCTGCAGGAGTTGAGGGCTGCTGGGTGAGAGTAAAGGGAAGCAGCCAGGAGAAGTGCTCTTAGAAACCCTCGGAGCACAGGGAATATCTCCATCGGGGGTGTAGGGAGGTACAGGTAGAGAGTTACAACAAAAAGGTGACTCTTCAACTGAGTTTTCTGAACAGAAAGAATTAACTGGACCAAAAAGAAATGACATTCACAGCTAAGACATCATGTACACCAATGCCCAGAAATGTAAAGACACGCAACACACTCAGAGCATAGCAAGTAGCCTTTATCTCAAAGTTCAAGATCCATGTCTGGGTACAGCAAAAGTTGAGACTTTAAGAGCAGTGTCATGTGGAACCCATGGATATGAAGACCAATTCTATTGTGTTCTTAGGATACTAAATAAAATAATTGACTTCTCAAAAAAAAAAAAAAAGGAAAAGAAAGAAAGAAAAAAAACAGTGACAACCCAACTAGAATTGTTTTTGGAACTTGAAAAGTTGATTTAAAAATTCTGAAATTCATCTGGAAGAAAAAATATGCACATATAGCCAATGTAATTTTTAAATCAGAAGTGTTCTAAGAGCATAGTAAGGGAAGCAGGATAGTTTGGCAGCATTTGTTACAACTCAAATGCATGTATCAAAGGACCAAGTCGTTACACCTGTTGCTCTTTACCCTTCATTTTCCTTACACAGAAAAAAGCTGCAGATGAAGGATATTTTCTGCAACAAGCTGAAACAATCTCACCTTCATTTAGAGAATTGATATATTCGATTGAAAATACTGTAGAAGTTCTTCTGTTGTTTGGCTTTTTGTGAGATTTTTTGTTGTTGTCATCATTGTTGTTGTTTTGGTTTTTAAAGTGAAGTAAACCAATGTTTAATGGCCACATGAAAAGCTTTCTATAAGATGTTGCTGAATTAAAAAGGTAACTTGTAGGGCTGGGGATGTGGCTCAAGTGGTAGCGCGTTTGCCTGGCATGTGTGCAGCCTGGGTTCAATCCTCAGCACCACAAACAAAACAAAGATGTTGTGTCTGCCGATAACTAAAAAATAAATATTAAAAAAATTCTCTCTCTCTCCCTCTCTCTTTAAAATATATAAATAAAAAATAAAAAGGTAACTTGTAGAACCACTTAGCTATAATATGATACCCCAAACCTGTATGAAGTAGGGATAGGAAATGATATGTAGTGGTTAGAAAAATACAGCTGAAAGAGCAGAGTGTGGGTATAACCTCAACCCTTCACTGGCTTTGTGACCTTGGGAAAGTGAATTTATGTCTGAGTCTCACTTTTATCTCCTGTACAATGACGATAATAAACCACAGGATCATTGTATTAAATAAATGTTTACCTATAAAGCACTTGAAACAGCACCTGTTGCACTTTTGCTTGAGCTAAATTATATTCTGGATATCAACATGAGGGAAACACCTCCAATCGAAGAATATAGAGAAGGTATTAAGTTTAAGAGTGGTTCATGACTGGAGTTTGCTTTATCTGTAAATTTTGTATCTTAATATAAGAAACTTAAGAATATGGTTTATTGTATTATTTGAGAAATGGGAATTTAACAAAAATTTTAATATAAAACAAAATGAGATTAGTGATGATCCAATCACATATTAGATCCTTTCTTCTTAATCCTGAAAACTACAAGAATACAAGGAAGCAATTCCAGGCGGATGTTGTAAATCACCTAAACCCACTAATTTTAAAAAATATATGAAAAATCAAATCTTAAAAACTACAATGAAAAGAATATTGTTTATTTGAAGACTGTGTTTGGAGTATTCATTCTGTAGGGCACAAATGTTTCATCTGTTCATATATTTTAAGTAGTAGTAACAATAAGAATCAAGATTAACTTTTTTGAACATTTACTCTGCAAGAAGGTCTGGGAGCTCTGCCATCATTAACTCCTTTTGCCTTAGTAACTTACCCTTGGAGACAGGTGCTCTCAGTAATCTATTTAGAAGTGAGGAATAGATGCAGAAAGCAATAACCTGAAGTCACATAAGAAGGAAGTGGCAGGGCCAGGAATAAATTCAGGAAGTCTGTTGTGAAAGGCCAGGCCATCACATTAGTCCAAGAGGAGGAGGAAATGATAGGTGAAATGCACCCCTGTAAATGAACTTAGGACAATGTAGCTCAGACACATGGACAAAGAAGAAGTATAAATGCCAAACTAACTCCATCAAAGTGCTATATTTCAGAAGTTCAGTAGATTAGACAATTGAAAATAAAGGGATGGGAGGGGGACAGAAATAGCAAAGACAATGGAATGAATTGGACATAACTTTCCAATGTTCAGATACGAATACACAACCAGTGTAACTTCACATCATGTACAACCACAAGAATGAGACCATAATTACAATAAGTTAGAGTCCATGTATGTACAATATGTCAAAATATACTCTACGGTCATATATATCTAAAAGGGACAAAACTTAAACATTTTAAAAAATAGAAGCCAAAAATAGATAGATAAATAAGGTACTATATTCCAATTGTTAACATGGCAAATCTACAATAAGTTTGTTCTCCTAAATTTCTAACACATTAAGGAAAATATTCTAAAAGTCCACTCTTCACTTTTTTCTTTCTTCCTTTTTTTTTTTTTAGATGATACAATACCTTCATCTTTTTTATTATTTTAATGTGGTACTGAGGATTGAACACAGTACCTCACACATGCTAGGTGGGTGCTCTACCACTGAGCTACAACCCCAGCCAATCTTCACCTATTTATTTCTTCACTTTCAGCAACCATGCCATAAAAACTTACTTAATGAGAAATTAAGAATCCAGGAGTGAGTAGGCAAGATCCTGCTAAAGAGTATTATTTATTGAGAGAGGCAGTTTATAAAACAAGTAATTATCTAACAATGACATTGATGAGTGCTGCAATGATATGGCCTCCCCTAAAAAGCAACATTTCAGGGGAGACTGTCAGGAAAAGAATTAAGCAGAGAGAGTGTGTTGAAGAGCAACTGAGTACAGAAAACAGCAGCTGTTGTTTTTGGTCAAGGAGCAGAAGGGATCAGTGGGGTGGAGTGCAGTGACAATGGGCTGCTTCATTGTCATGAAAATCAACTAGATGTGTCTTAGTTGGACTCTGCCTTTAAAAAAGCATACACATTATTCAAGACCTGTCTCAAATGCTTATCCCCTTTCTTACTGCTGGTCTCAAGTAGTTACTATTCTCCTCTTCAAACTGCCAAGAGCAGAATGATTAAATATCCTTTTTAGTACCTGATTATAAGCCAAGACTGATTTATTTTACCATATATGTGATCCATGAACTCCCAAATATAAGACCATTCCTTCCTAACCTCTGATTCCCCTGGATGCCTGGAAAAGTTCAGAGAATTATTCAGTTATGTACTGGACTTAATTTTTGAATTAAAGAAAAACTTAAAAATAAAAACATTTGGTGAAAGATGAAATCTTGGAAATCAGCATTTTTTTTTTCAAAAGCATATGTGTATTATCATGAGAATAACTTTATATTCTAAATCATAAAACTATGCTCCTGATTTACTCATCAAAAGATATTAGATAAATTTCTGCTATATTTAAGATAATCTGGCATAGGTTATTATCATAGAATGCTGCTTCCCTGAATCAGCACTCTAATAAAGCAAATGGGGGAAAAAAAAATTCTCTCACTTAGAGCTCACATACTTTCCAGAGTTAAAGGCAGCAGTGAGACAGACCAGGAGCATATTTCTTAAACACATGTTCAAGGGTTGCTTTCCTGGTTAGGATATAAATTGAATTGCTATCTCTAATACAATCATTTTTTTAATGAGGACAACTACATTCACCTTCTATAGAGGAATCAGCATTAATATAGGCCACTCCACGATCTTGAAGGAGTCTGGAATTCTCCTATCACAAAAAGACAAGAAAAATCCACCTTTAAACATATCAACATATCATATTCTTTGTCATGTTTTGAACAACCAATAAAAAATAAATAAATAAACTGTGCCTTTAAAAAGAAAAAAAAAAACATATCAACATAACCACCCTCACATTAAATATAAATTTCTGAATGAAACAGGCCCATATTCACAAATTTAGCATATAAGACTCTCAAAAGAGAGTTGGCTTCAAAGAATTCAATGAAGGTTACCAGTTAGAAACAACAAACAAAACTTTAAAAAACTAACATTTAAGATGAAACTGTCCACATATTTATATACACGGAAAAGAAGTGAATTTCTGAATCATACTGTAGTTTGTCCATAGATAAGTTTAAAAATTCTCTCAGCAAACATGAAATGACATAGGAGACTTTTCAGTGGAAATCTTCCTACAAATATCTCATTATTTAAGTAGAAAATCTTGCCCCATTCATATTGAATGAGCTATTTCAAAATCAGCTTGAAAAATTTAAAAGTTGAATCCTGTAGACATGAAGTCAAGTTATCTTGTAGGATGGCTCCACCTACTGGTAAATGTTGATAATTGAACACTTTTAGAACACTATCAGGAAGTATAGCAAAATGTTTTTGAGATATTAATGTAGATTTCGAGTCTCCAAAATATATAATTTCCTAAGCATTCTGAATATAACATAACAATGAAAATAAATATGTAACTCTGAATGATAAAAATAATTTGAAAGGGGCAAATCAGATCCTGAAAACATTTAGGCTTTTTCTGATACCATCAAAAATCTTTCTTATAAAAAGCTTTACCACAGGGCTAGGTTGTAGCTCAGTGGTAGACAGCTTGTCTAGCATGTGTGAGGCACCTGGGTTAGATCCTCAGCACCATATAAAAATGAAATAAAGATATTGTGTCCACCTTCAACTAAAAACAAATATTATATATATAAAAAAAGCTTTACCCCACATTCTATGAAAACATTATTTCTGCTCCTCCCCCAAGGAAAATGAAAGTTTACAGTTTATCCATTTATTTACTATCATGCTCCCAGAAAATAGAGATGAATTAATTTCAACAATTAACACTGTATCTCTAAAAAACAAAACTTAGATCTTTAGTGAAGATACTTTTTTTTTTTTTTTTTTTTGAGTTTTGAGCAGGGATTTATTGCTTAAGATGTTTTTTAAAAAAAAAAAAAAAAAAAAAGCTTGAGCATTTTCTCACTGTATTCACCTGTTAGATTTAACTATTAAGTCCAAAGTGCTTTGTTTTGGTATGTTTTGTGGTGCTGGAGATCAAATTCCCGAACTTGTGCACACAAAGCAAATGCTCTAGAACTGATCTACATCCCAGCCCACTGCTTTGTTACTATGAAATTTAACATTGTAGCAAATTATTCACTTACCTCTGCCCACTCAGTAGAACCAAGAGGACCAAATTCTTCTGCATCCAAGCTTGCAAACAAAATTTTTTTTCTAGGCCTCCATCCTAAAATATATATGTATATGTACATAAATACTGGGAAAAATACATACTGTACCCAAGACATTATAAAGCCCAAATGGAGGAAAATAAACAAATCCCCCCCCAAAAAAAGAAAGAAAAAAATGAGAAATTCATTTGTTGATTAGGAAGGGTGACTTTTGAATTTAATAAACATAATGGGCTAGAATTTGTGGCTCATACTTATAATCCGAACAGCTCAGGAGGCTGAGACAGGAGAATCACAAGTTGTAAGCAAACCTCAGCAACCATGAGGCACTAAAAAATTCAGTGAGACCCTGTCTCTAAATAAAGTTCTAAATAGGGCTGGGAATGTGGCTCAGTGGTCAAGTGACCCTGAATTAATCTGTAGTAGCACCCCGCCAAAAAAAAAATAATAATAATTTCCTTTTGTAAGATTTTAAAGGTGATTTGTCAAAATGAAATAGCATGATTGAAAAGGGAGAAATAAAGACACAATAATAGTCTTAAAAAAGCCATAAAATATTCTAATAAATTTTTGATAATTGGCTAAGCATAGGAAGGCTTTCTGTTCTGCAGTTGCCTAAAAGGAAAGAAGATATTGCTAGGTGCAGCCAGCGATCTGAAAACCCATGGAACTGAAAAATCATTTCCAACTCCTCCCTGTGGTTCTGACATCACATAAACAGATGCTCAGTGTCAGCTGACAGTGTGATTACACTCCAGCCTCTAGTAGAATTAGTGAACAGGGGCTCCATTAGCAACAGCAATGCCTGTTGCTGCTGAAATATGTGTAATTCAGTGGGGGAGGTCATGTGGCTAGGCGGTAAGACTCTAGCCTCAGAGTTAAAGAAAGATCTTGTTCAAATCTTGATTCTCTCACTTACAAGAGGTGTCATGAGGTGAGTTATTCAAACTGACCAAGTCTATCTCCTCATCACACCAGCATAACAGAGTAAATGTGAAGTCACTACTTGACTATTGGGGGTTAAATGGAGCAATGCTCAAAAAGCACCTAGTGATCCCAAAATTCTAAGCTGTCATTGTTAGTAAATATTTCATGTGTATTTATTAGGAATATTTATCCTGGCTTATGTTTATATTTTAGTTGCTAAATAAGCTATATTAAGATGTGTCTACATACACATACACACATCCCAAAAAAGAATGCTTATCCTATAGCTGTTGAATTTAACATCCTGTTTTTATCAAGATTTTAACAGCATTATTCAAATTTCCTATTATTATTCCTTATCATTTCATTGTTTCAGCATACTCTATAATTGCCACAGAGATGTTTTGCATTTATCATAGGGATTTTCCAGTGTCATACAAAATCATGAAACTTTAATGTGTGGGAGAGTCAAACTAAGAATTGAACCTAGGGGGGCACTTAATCAGTAAGTCACATCCCCAGCCCTTTTTTACATTTTTATTTAGAGACACAGTTTCGCTTAATTGTTTAGGGCATTATTAAGGCTTTGAACTTGTGATCCTTTGTCTCAGCCTCCTGAGTTTCTGGGATTATAGATGTGCACCATGATGCCTGACTCAAATCATAAAGTTTTTTGTAATAAGATTAAACACTACTAAATTATTTAATATGTAAATTCAGGTCTCCATTGGTTTATTTTCTTAAAATCTAAGATATTTCTGTGGAGAAGCGAATGGAGAACCCTTGTATTTCATTTTAATTAGAGACAATATGGTTTTGTGAACCAGTACCCAGAAATTTCAGTCTAAACTCTGATTTTCTCACTGGGCCACATATTACCTACATGACCCTGGGAAAATTATTTAATTCTCTAAACTTGGTTAACTTATCTGTAAAAGAAATACTAAAATAACTACATAAACTTCTCCCTGGTTGTTATAAAGTCAAAATGAGTCATATATATGAGAACACTGTTTCTCAAAGAAAATAAATAGCATGCAAACTAAACATACTTTCACTGTTGTTTTTACTGTTGCTTAAATATAATGTTTGCATCTTATAGCCCTCAGACACCTGGTTTGCAGGGTCAGAAAAGAGAATAGACTTGCTGCTCTCAAGGTATAAAAATCACTTTAAAAATCACTGAAACTACATTTTTTATTTTGGTTTTCATATGAAGATTCTAAAATGACTGAATCAGTGGTTCTAAGCATATGGATGAGAATAGGAGAGAACAGATACCTAACAGGGAGCAGAATCCCATTAGACACCCAGATTAGTATTTCACTGTGCATAGCTTCTATATGCTTAGTCTTCATGACCTGAGGAGTGAGACTGAAGGAGCCCAGGAATTTCTGTTTGCAGCTCTCTGACAGGAAAGCTTTGGTTATGACCTTCTATGGAGGAACCTGGCTACATCTTCTTGGTTACCAAGAGCAGCCAAGAACAGTGCAATTCCTTCATGTTAGATTATCATTTAATTTATGCTACCAATAATATCACAGTCTGTAATAAATTAAAATTAATAAATAAATTATCTAATAATAATGGCTGTCTTCTATTTTGATCAATATATAGCAACAGCTAAGATGGCATTTTCAAATTAACACTACAGAAGACTTAGTTGAGAATTCAAAGAGACTGGTCTTTTATTCTTTGTTTATATTACCTTCCTTTTTCAGTGTTCCAAAGCTCCTCACAATTTCATGAACAACAGCTGCTCCACTCTGAGGGTCAATGCCCCCAAAGACCCATGAGTCTCGGTGACCTCCAAGAATGACATATCTGTCTAGAAACCAACATTGCAAGACTGTGGCTTTAGGTCAAAAATGGAGTAAATTGCAAATGGTTCAACAACATCTAAACACGAAGCACTCACAACTCAAGAAAAATAGCAATTTTCTTGAAATCTTGTGCAAATGTGCTGTCTGATCTGATTTTAATGTTTCCTCTATATGAAGAAAGTATGAATGTGATAGAGAAAATGCATACCTCAATATATTACTGTAATCAAAAGTATATGAACTATTATATACATTTATCTTTATCCACCTTTTCAATTCTCTATTACTCACTCTTACCTTACCACTTTCCTTCCAACATTTTCAGAGTGAAAAAACACAGTTCTGTACTTTCTACTCTTACAAATTTTCAAGGTACAGGTCCTAATTTTTCCTCTCTGAACTTTTATCTCTCATAGTGAAAAGGGAATTGCTCTGTCTACCCAGTTCTCAGGGCAAGTTTCCACATCTGATAAAACACAGATTACAATTGAATGTATGGCTCTCCTTACTAAGTAGGGGCCCATCATCCCAGGTCTTTATTATTCTTTCAGTCCCAATGTTTAGCACATTGCCCATACAAAATAAGATGCAATTAAGAGCTAGTTATACATTGTTCAGTACTCACTAGAAGGATATCAACATTCTTGATCCCTTATAAGAAGAAGCATATAAAATTTACTTGTATCTATTTTAGTAAGAAATGTATAACCAACTAGTTCCTATGGAACTGAGACGTACTAAACTAAGGCTATATATAAAATATATTAATCAGCAGATCATTTGAAAAACTATGGAATGCATGTGTCTAGATATTGTCAATTACTTCAGTTGCAGAAAATAACATTCTACAAAAATTCATTAACTTAAGGTTATCTTAGTTTTCTCAGTTTTTCCTTTTGTGCAGATATTTGTAGTCATCATTAAAACATTTCCTTATGTAAAATATATGGCAAGCAAATCAAGAAAACTTAGAGAAACACCTCAAAAGTCTCTCCCTGCCCATCTTGCTTTAATTCTTTGACTGAAACACTCATAGTTTATCACTCACTTCAGTCATACACCCAAGCTAGGTCCACTTTTCTTTTCTTCACAACATGTATAATAATACAATATTGCATCATATATATCTATTTTGTGTTTAGGTAAATTTTATTAGGGCAAAGTGTCATATTCTTTGTTCATATTATGCCCCCAGAGCTCATACCACCACCTGGCACATAAGAGTTGGCTCACTCAATATTTGCTGAGCAAATAGTTAATTTACCTGGTTCCATGGCTCCTCTGAGAGTACCAATCACATTGTAAATCCTTGTCACTTCACTGTTGGAATGGATGTGCATCTTGACTTTTCTAAAGCAAAGAGAATGGGTACATTCTCAAAAATGCTGGTTATCAAATTAACACCACATTTTTTTTAAATTTTTATTGTTGGTTGTTCAAAACATTACATAGTTCTTGATATATCATATTTCATACTTTGATTCAAGTGGGTTATGAACTCCCATTTTTACCCCATATACAGATTACAGAATCACATCCATTACACATCCATTGATTTGCATATTGCCATACTAGTGTCTGTTGTATTCTGCTGCCTTTCCAATCCTCTACTATCCCCCCTCCCCTCCCCTCTTCTCTCTCTACCCCCTCTACTGTCATTCCCCCTTGTATTATTTTTCCCTTTCCCCTCACTTCCTCTTGTATGTAATTTTGTATAACCCTGAGGGTTTCCTTCCATTTCCATGCAATTTCCCTTCTCTCTCTCTTTCCCTCTCACCTCTCATCCCTGTTTAATGTTAATCTTCTTCTCATGCTCTTCCTCCCTACTCTGTTCTTAGTTACTCTCCTTATATCAAAGAAGACATTTGGCATTTGTTTTTTAGGGATTGGCTAGCTTCACTTAGCATAATCTGCTCTAATGCCATCCATTTCCCTGCAAATTCTATGATTTTGTCATCCATCCATTTCCCTGCAAATTCTATGATTTTGTCATAGAATTTGTCACCACAATTTTTAAATCTTCCATCATTGTTTAAATTACACTAGCCATTTTTTTTCTAGTTGTAGTTGGACACATTACCTTTATTTCATTTATTTTTATGTGGTGCTGAGGCTCGAACTCAGGCCTCGAATGTGCTAGTCGAGCGCTCTACTGTTGAGCCACAACCCCTCTAAAAGTGTGGCCCACTTCAACCTCTAGTTTTGTTTCCTACTGGTGCTATATACACTTTACTTTTTATGTCATTCTCTACAATTTTAGTCTCTTAAAAGATCTGTATTAAAGAGTTAAATTAAAATACTCTCTTAACTGTGTAGAGAAGTTTCCAGTAAAGCCAGGACCCACATTATAAGGCACTTTGAGACCTCCTTTCCAGCTGCTATCTGGTGGTGCTGAGCCACCCATGTGTCTGTTGGACCAAAAAAGGAAAAAAAAATCATTATTAGCTGGAGGAAAACTTTTACTTTATTTAACAAGTTATAAGAGTCAATGAATTTACTTTCTTGAGCATTTGTTTACAATAGTTTCTATGGGAGAGGTGTCATGTAAAACATTTTGAAAATAATATGCCATTTAATCCTTACTACAATCCTATAAACTAGGTTCTATTATTTTTCCCACTTCACAGATGAGAAGCATGAGGCTAAGTGTGATTAGGTAACATGCACAAAGTTTTGTGCTGACAAGTGGTACAGCTGAGATTTAAATTATTGACTAGTATTTTAACTTTGTGCAACTACTCTCAAGAGTAAACATTAGAAGTGCTCTCCAGAGTATGTTCTGAATAAAAAGCTTGATGTATAACTCTTTGGAATTTTCCCTGATAAATATACTCCCAAATATTTCTATTGTCATCTCTTACAAAGTGTGTTTTCACATAACTATCTGGAAAAAAAGGAAGATCAAAGGAAATAATTTTGCTTCAGTCATATGTCCCTAAAAGCTTCATGCTTTTATTTTATTTTATTTTATTTTTAATTTGAAAAGGTAGAAGGATTCACGTGGATAGCTACTACATGCTATCAGCTCCCTGTAATCTTTTAGTAGGAGACTGAAAAAAGTAATATAGTAATATTTATAAAATGGTGTGATTCTTGTCATTTTCCTTCAATACAGCTACCTTTACTGTATCAGAGCAAGTCAACCATTGGTTTGGGCATGAAATAAAACATATTTTAACTGAATAGCAGCAGATAGATGAATGTGGTCCAAGAAAAACTTAGAAAACTGAAAACGTAATGTGAGCAATTTCTACCTCTACTATAAATAGATTTTGATGAAAATCTAGTTGTAGGGCAGAAACAGTCTCTGAGAGTAAATACATCCTATTTTCCCCCCATCTCACTAGGAAGTTTGGCTAATAAATAGAATTTCAAGTAATATGTAATTTATTTTTGTACAATAAATTTTCACACAAAATCATCTAGTACTATGGAGAGGATGTTTACATTGTTAGAAAACATAATCCATAGTCAAAACAGCAAATATTAAATATGCAAAGAAGTTGTAGGAGGCAAGGGAAGAATATACACATACATGATCATATACAAAATATTTCTCCAATATTATTAACATTAACATTCATAGAAATGAATAAAAGGAAATCTTTCTACTGTAAACGTTTTCAAGTTATAATTTTGCCAATGTATTTCCTTTTCAAAATAAATATGAAAAGCAAAAAAAATGCAAATTCATCAAGAAGAAAAATAGGCAATTGTGTATTATAACATAAAAAAAAGAAAATAAATAGTCCCTTTTCTTACAAAACAATAAAATATGCTGGAATGGTGATGGTCCCTCAAGAACAGGTAAACAGACAACAGAACATTAAAAGAATGGTTATGTGTAAGAATCTAATAACAAATAAAGGATATATCACACATTCACAAAGAACAGAGGTTTTAGTCAAACTCTAAAGATATCAGATAATATGAATAAATTTTGAAAAGATCTCTGAAAGGATTTGATAGATGTTAGATACTCTGTAAATATTTATAAATAGTAGTGACTTAAATCTGTTTCCTATAACATATTTATTTTTATTTGACCATTTGTGAAACATTTATTGTCTACCTTTCTAAATGTACTTTGTTCTACTTGACAAGGAATGTAACTAGGTATAACACATGATCATTCCACCAAAAAGTTCCCAAGTCACTCAGAAGGTGATACATATAAAACCAACTATGATATAAAATAGAACATGACAGATAATATACAGAGTTCTACAAAATAAGCACAAAAAGGGTTAATGCAACTTGTTGGATCAGGAACAACTTTCTAAAGGGGATTTCACTTTGTTGTATTTTAATGGATAAGCAAGATGTAGGAATGGAAAGGTGAAGGAAAAGGCACTCCAGGGACAAGATATAATATAGAGAGGCATGAAGGCAGAGAACTATGGGGCAAGTGTAAGGCTTAGTGACAAATCTGGCTGGAGTATGATTAAGGTACCTAAGAGAGAAGCTTGAAAAGTACTGGAACTTGGCTTCTGGGAAGATGATTTAGCCTCCTGCTAAATGCAACTAAAATTCCTGTTGGCAGGAGTGTGTAAATGAGACAGAAGATCTCAGAAATTATTATATTCCAAATTAACAAGTGAATTACAACTCCAACAGAGAACATGTGGACTGTAACTTTTGAATCACCTCTTTAAAAGCCCTCTGTCCCTACAGATGGGCAGAATCAGTGTCTGGGACAGGAGTCCCCTGTGTTTCTCCTTTCCTTTGCTAGCAAAGCAATAAACTTTATTTTTCCTTTTCCTCAAAACCGTGTCCCTCATTATTGGATGGGCATCATGGACCAGGACTGAGCTTTCAGAAACAGTTTCATGCATTCTTTCCCTAATTACAAACACAAAATGGGTTCATTTTTAAACTTTTATATAACTTGGACCATCTTATACATTGATTTGAAATTTTCCTTTTTAACTCAATAGTATATCACAAACATGTTCCATATCATTAAATATTATACAATATTCTTGTATCTATTAGTGACTTCATTTACTACCATAGTCAGTAACATATTTGACTACTTATTGATTGTTGAAGTTTTATTTTGATTATAGAATATTACAAGTTATGCTTACTTACTGTTACTGTCTAAATTCATAAATACTTAGATTTTATTTATTAATATGTTTAGATAAATCCATAGTTCATACTGTACTCAAAAATTGTACGTGATCCTAAATCATAACTGATGTGACAGAGTTAAAGCCCTGTTATGGTTTAGATGTTAGGTGTACCCCAAAAACTCATGTGTGAAAAAAAATGGGATAAAGTTTAGAGATGGATTTTGGGGGTTATAAGAGGTTTAACCTAATTAGTGAATTAATCCACTGATAAGAATTAACTGGGTAGTAACTGTTAATCCCTGGAAGGGATTACAGTGTGGCTAGATAGGGGTTGGTCCCTGGGGTCAGCCTTCCCATTCTGTCCTTGTTGAGCAGAGTGAGATTTTTCTGCCTTCTCTCTCTCTCTCTCTCTCTCTCTCTCTCTCTCCCACCCCCATCCCCCACCCCCATTCTCCTTCTCCCTCTCTCTCTCTCCTTCCCCTTCTTCCCTCCCTCCTTCCCCATATGAAGTCCTGGACCACTTTCCTCTGCCATACCCTTTCTCAATGATATTCTGCCTCAAGCCCCAAGGAATGGAGCCAGCAATCTATGGACTGAGACTGAGTCCCCAAATAAACTTTTCCTCCTATAATTGTTCTCATCAGGTCCTTTGGTTACTGCAGCAAAAAAATAAAAAGCTGACTAAAACATGGGCCAAAAGGAAAAACAAAACAAACCCAGGGTACTTCCTTAACCTCCTCTTAAATTG